TGCCCACACAGGGAGTAGGACCCGGAGCAGCTACTGGCCATGCCCTGGCAGGGACAGAGGATGCTGAGTACCTCCCCTTCAATGCTTAGGGCTTCACTTTCTCAGCAGTGAGGATGTGCCTGCAGGAACATCACCCCTCATACCCCCCCTCCCCCCCCAACCCCAAGGACTTCCCATCTCCTCAGGGACTCATGGCGGTGGGTCTGAGCTGGATCAAGGTGGCAAGTGAAGCCAAAGCTGGGAAAATGAAGCAGCTGGGTCCCTCTGCTCCACACTCTTCCTGGCAGCACAGCCACATGGGGTGGCTATGACCTTGAGCTGCCCCGTGGGAGAGAGCCAGCTGTGCAGCAGACCCTCAGATGTGCAGCTGAGCAAAAAGGGAAAAAAAATCATGTCACTCACTTCAGCTTGCTGAAGACATCAGTCACCATCTGGTCCAGGACAGAACTGAGGTTGAGGTGGTCCTGGAGGTATATCCGCTCTGACATGGCATTGACCAGCTGGTCCCTGACTCCTCTCTTCTGTAGCATGGCCGGGCACAGGTTGTGGACTGTGTCCAGCACTGCCTGCATGATCGCCTGTGGCAGACCCAGAAGTTAGGGGAAGGAAGAGGACATTTTCTGCCTCTTTTCTTATCAGCATTCAAATATTTTGCTATTTGTCCCAGGAGAAGTTATGTACAAGGGGGGACCTGGGTGATGGAGGTGATGGAAGAGGTGCAGTATATGCACTGCTGGAGCACACTGTATGCTAGGCTCAGAGCAGCTGGCGTCCCTTGGTCAGGGCAGTCCCTGCATCTGGGGCTTCATCACATCTTGGGCTGAGGCTGACAAGTGTCCCATGCCACTGACAGCTCCCTGCTTGCTGCAGCGGCTCCCAGTAGGCACCCACCTGGATTTCCCGGCCACAGGCCTGTGACGCTTCCTCCGTGAGACATTCCATCTTATGCTGCAGCTTGCCATTCTGGTATGGGGTGTTTCCTGCTTCATACAATAGAGGCAAAATCTGCGAGGGGAGGAGAGAAAGTGTGGCTCATCCTATGGCAGCATATCTTTACTCTGCTGAGCCATGTATGGCAAGCACAGTCCTAGTCCATGGCTGCCCCATAGCAAAGAACTCCTTGCATCAGTCAGGGGCACCCAGTGGTCTTTCAGCCCCACTGGGCTGGGGTCAGGCTCCCCAGCCCCTCTGCACTCCTCTACCCCACTGCCCTCAGAGTCCATTGGGCCTCCTTCTCTTGTTGTACCCAGCCCATCTGCTCTCTCACTGCTTATCCTTTCCTAGCCCTTCTGGCACCTCTACAGCATCAGCACTGTCCTATTAAATTAAATCTCACTAGAACCCTTCCCTAACCCAGGAAGCTGACGAGCAGCCTCTTTCTCACCCTGTTGCTGGGATGCGTGCTCACAGTGCACAACTGTTGGTCCCCGCGATTTGGACAACAGCACCAGGTCCCTGCAGAGCATCCCCACTACGGTGTAGTCTCCAGGTGCTACCAGGAGACAGGGCAGTGAGTGGTGAGAGCCCCTCCTCTCCCTGTCTGCAGTAGCATCCCCCACCCTGTAGGTCCCACTTTCTGTAGGTTGTAAAGTCAGTGCCAGCCCCTTGCAAGCAAGCTGTTGTGATAGTCTGTAGCTGAAGCAGTTCTGTTCTAAAAACACCCAGTGAAAATCCTTTCTGGTACAGCCTCAAGGACATTCTGGCCTCCAGCAGCCCCATGCACCTCCAATCTCTCACAAGCTGCTCACAGGTTTGTGCAAATTTTCCCTCATACTGGGATGAAAAGATGCAGTGCATCTCTCAGGATAGCCCAGTGTGGCTAGGGAGGCATCATGGCTCTTGCCCTCAACAGCTCATGTAGAGACAATTGCCACACAGGGGCAAGGGCGTAGTGCCAGGTTTGAGATAGGGGCATGGACTTGGGTGTGTGGTGGGATTCACATCCCCCCCCCCCCCCCCCCACAGCCGCAGGCTAGGAGGTTGGGAAGTGAGGAACACTAAGGAAGAAGATGACCATCAGCTGGATTAAGCGGTAACCAAGTGGTTGCCAAGAGACTTGAGGGAAAAAAAAAAGGTGGCAACTTGAAAAGAAGCATAGAAGAAGGAGGAAAACGTGTAATGGGTAGAGAGAAGTGGGAACAGCAACAGTCCAATGGAGTCTGACACTGCCAGGAGGTGCCCCACCAACACTGTGACCTGGTGGAACATTCTCCCTGCCATGCTGTGGGAGGTTGCATCCAGCCAGTGGGGCTGAGGGTATGGGGATCCCCAAGGAGGGACACTCTGGGGGCACATGGGGGGTTTTATCAGCAGATTGTAGGGAGCAGCATGGGTGCGCCCAAAGCTGGACCATCCGCAACTCCCAAAGGAGGGTGGTGCAAGCAGGGGAACCTCCTTCCTGAAGAAGGGGGTGGATTTGTAAACCACAGTTCCTAGGAGCTTGTGCACACAACTGTGTGCATCTGTGTGTGTAGATTAGAACATTTTGGGATTTGTTATAGAAGGGGGATCAGAAATTTTCAGCCATTTTTTTAACATTTTGCAAGTGTTTAGTAATGTGATGTATCTATTGCACTGATGCTATTGATCTTGAAAATTCACTGTTTGTCAGTTAATTAATAAATCAATAAACTGCTTTGATCTTGGATTTAAGCCTCATGAGTTGAGTGTTTTTACCCCGTGACAGGAAAGCAGGGCAAGAGAAAGGAGACTCCATCTGTCCTGGAGTGCAGCAGACTTACACTGACAGACAGGTTGGCCTTCCTGATGGCTTCCTCTGCAAAGAGGATGTCGGCCTCCACCTCCCTGCCCAGGCAGGAGCTCAGGATGTCAACATGCTTCTGCACGCTGAGGCAGATTTCGTTCACCATCTGGAGCACAGAGAAGATGCTGTCATGCACTGATGCCTGAGCAGCGCTGCAAGTTCCTGTCCTTGCTGTGATTTCCAGGAGAAGAATACACGGGTGCTGCCCAACTGGCCAGTGGGAGCACAGGCAGGTGACTCCCTGCAAGCGCTTCCCTGCCTAGTGACCAAGGATGCTGGACAGCAGGGATTTGCTTGCAAGCATGTGTTGAGCACATGAAGATGGCAGCATGCTGTGCAGGGGGGATGAGCAGTGAGATATCTCAGCACTGAATTTGCATGAAGCACAGGGATGAAGCCAGGATGGCTCTCTGGGTATCTCAGCCCCATTCTCTCCTGCCCAGCCCTGCTCTCTTCTCCATGGCCCTCTCTGTCCTGGGCTCAGGAAAAGTGAAAAAGGGTCTGTGCTGCTTGCAAGAGTCATCATGAGCAAGCCAGAGGCCTACTTTGATGTCCAGCACTAGCCAAGATTATTCATGCTGGAGCAGAGCAACTGGCTGTGCAGCTGGACATGGTGATTTTATGTACTCACCTGTTCAGAAGAGGTGGTCAGTATCCCCTGCTGCAGCCGGAAGGTTTGTGTGGGCAGCGTGCGCCGCATTTGGTTCCTTGTCAGGCAGGACTGGATCTGCAGCGTGTAAATAGCCCTGTGATTAGGCATCTTTGGCACCCCAAGCCAGCTCCCCCAGCCCCTAGACCCACCTTGTGCACTGCCTCCTCTGTTTTCTCAGGGTTGCTCCGATATGCCTGCACCACATCATTCATTGGCAGGGGCATGGACTTGAGGGTGTAATTCCTGCAAGGCAATGGCACAGGTGAGCAGCAGGATAGCGGCACTGCCAGCCCCTTTGCTGCAGGCAAGCATCTACATTGCATCTCCTACCTTGCAGTGGCAGACACCATGGCACATCAGTCTCATGGTTTTAACGCCACCACGAAACGTGTGTGTGGGGAAAGCATTTCCCTGTTGACACAATGTAGCTTCCAGGGCTTGTGGGGATGGTTGAGCTGGAGCAGATGGGCAAACCCCCACAGGGTCACAGCAGCCACCTGCCTGCACTCTCTGGCCACTCTGACTGAAGCCCTCTTGGCTCAAACCATTGGAGCCCATACTGTGGTGGCCTTCCTGTGCATCTGCATGGCCATGTATCTGACCCCCCCATAGTCTCAGTAGACGAATAATTTTTTTCCATCTTTTTTGAGTAGGAGGGAGCAGAGTGCTGGATCCCCACAAAAAGCAACCTATACCTGAGCAGATCACACAGTGCTCACTGCGGGCTGACTTTGGTATGGTTCAGAGTGATGAAACTTGCTGTTGGGTTGGGATACTGAGCCCCAGCACTCCTGATGCAGTCTCCCAGCCCTTGTGGGTAGCAGAGCTCAGGAGCAACGCTTTTCCCTCTGGCTGTAAAACTTGTCCCTCCATCCTTTTAAGTGATGCACAGTGCTGGAAGGGAGAAATATGAGCCATAGCCAGCCCTGAGGCCCTGCAGCAACAGAGATCACTAATGAAGATGATGTCAACAAGTGGGTTGTGGGTTGCTTTGTTGCCTGCAATGTAGCAATTCCCGCTGTGTGGAAACTCCCTCAGGCCCTCTTTCCAACCCTTTGGCTCTGTGTGAGATGCACTTGCTGCATTTGGTGGGAAGAGGGCCTGGGGACGGTGATATCCTGATGCTGAAGTCTCTTGTGCATTGTGGTAGCAGGGCAGGAAGCTGCCCCTTCTCTACCTCTCCAAGGCTTGAGCCACCTCCAGGAGTCCATAGCCAGTTGTGTTGTTCCTGTCCCAAATCACGGTCCTGCAAAGAGGACAAGAGTGAGCCCCCTCCCAATCAACACAGCAGCCCATGTCAGCTTACCAAGTGGGACACCAGCCTGGACTGGCAGGGACTGATAGCAGGCATGGAGGGCAGGCACCTGGCTGCCAGGCACTGATGGCGCCATGCTGAGCTGTGCCTGTCCTGCTGGCTGCCAGGGAACCTCAGCCAAGCTGACCCCCACACCAGCAGGCAGGGAAATGGGGCTAAAAATCTTAACTTCATGATTCAAAAACTAAATTTGTCCTCTGCAGAGGGCTGCAAAGTACCTGGACATCTGGAGAGAGTGCAGGGCAGGATGGCCTTACTCAGACAGGCATCACCCTGCTGGCAGGGGCAGAGGTCCTACAGAGGAATGTCCCCAGCTGAGAGACCTTTCCCCACTCCCTGTCCCCTGCAGAAACCCCTGCCTTTCCTTTTCAAGTAGAATTTGGTTTAAAAAGTGACATTTTAGCAACCGGAAACAGCCCCCTACCATCTCTGCCCAGGGCACCAATGACAAAGCATGGATGAGCAGTGACCGTAAGGCTCCAGCTCCAGCATCCTAGGCTACATGGGAGCTTGGAAAAGAGCTGGTAAGTGCTGGTGTGGAGCTGCAAGGGAAGAGATTTAACTACTCTCCTGCCCTTTGCATGTCGGATGTCAGCACCAGCAACTGCCTGGCATGAGAGCGAAATACAGTCACAGCATCCACTGCTCACTGGGAGTCCGGGGTTGCATCTGTGATCACAAGGAACTGCAATAGACCTCCTTCACTGGCATCAGCATCATGACTAGGACTGTCATATCAAGATCGCCTGGCACAATGTGGGAAGGATGCCCACAGGGAGAGAGGGGCATAGGCCCCAGTGCTACCTGAGCTTTGTGTTGATTTGCAGGGCCTTGGCTAGCATCTTGGCACCAGTGTCTCCCATGGCATTGCCACTGATGTCCAGAGCAATGAGGCTAGTGTTACTGCCCAAGGCACTGAGCAGGACGTTGGTTCCCAACTTGAGGCGTGACTCAGCCACTGACAGGGACTGGAGAGTCTGGAAGAGGAAAAAGGAGGGAGAGACGTGTCTTTCATATCAAGCTGGATAGCATCCCTGGAGCAGAGGCTGAGCAGAGCCCTGGAGTCATGGCAGTTGATGGGAGGCAGGGCACAGATGGGATGGCTGGGGCACGTAAAGGCCCTGATACAGCAGGAGGTACTTACGCAGTCATCTTCTTGGGTGATCTGGACAATGCGGTGCAGGACATCCACCAGCCCTTCTCTGCAGGAGAGGCAGGTAGTTACACGTGCATCTCAGCATCACTTCCCCCCAGGGCAGCATGGACACCTGGCAAAGCTCAATCCTCCTGCCTTTGCCAGAAGCCACTAGACACCTGTCAGCCTCCTGCCTGCCTCCTACCCACATTTCAAAAGGCTGTGACCTGTGTCTGTGATGCCTGCACTCCAGCAAGGACTGGGTCAGGAGCAGATGACAGTCCCCCCACAAGTCCCTGGTACAATAAAGCAGGCCAGCCTCTGGGGGCAGATGAGGCAATCCCTGGCATTTCCGACTAGCCCAGGGCTCAGATGGAGAGAAAGAAGTGAGGTGGGTTCATAGTGCTAGGGCAGCTCCTGGCCTGGTGACAAAGTGCCACGGGTTGCACTTACTTGGATTTGATGTTGAAGTTTTTCCCCAAAGAGACATGCCTAATGGACTTGCTTCTGCCAATGGATAACACCAGTGTCACCATATCAGAGTCAAAACCTGTGAGAGATGAGCACAGTGATGAGACACCCAGTGGGATGCTCTGAGCGATCCAGACCACAGAGGCTGGACCAAGGTGATTGTGTGTGGCCCACCAAGGATGACCCAAAGAGCTGCCATGCTGCCACAGCAGGATGGCAGAGGGGCACCCCAGGCAGATCCTGAACCTCTTCCTCCTCTTCACGGCTCCCTCATGGAGGGCAAAGACCTACGCATCTGCCCCTAGTGGTGCAGGTAGAGCCAGGGACTGTGAGAAGTCCCACCCAGCAAACAAGCATCCTCTCTGAGAGTCCAGCTATTTGGAACTGCGGTGCAGAGCTGCAGGGAGCACTTACAGGGCTCGAGAGGTGCTTGCTTTCTCCTACCTTCCCCCCAAGCCCTGCCTCAGGAGGTACCCAGACACCTTTACTGCAGTGCATGCCTGCACCCCTATCCTCATGGCTGTAGCTTCCCCAGCGACATTTAGCAAGCAAAGGTTTTGTCCTTCCCACAGCAAAACACAGAGCACTTCTGTGCTCACACTCTGGTGAGCCCCAGAGCCTGCGGAGGAGGTCAGCAGGGCCCCAAGGGGCTGGAGCATGTCTTACGGCCCTGCTGCTGTACATAGACCTGGGCAGGGACCTCTCACCCCATTGCTCCACTGTCTCAGGGCAAGAGGCACCCAAGATCTGCCAGGCAAAGCCTAAGAGGAGTTTTCTTTCAGCCCACTACCACAGATTTGTCCATGACTGCCTCTGCACACAAAGTCATGAAGCTGTGACCAGGGGAGGACTCTCCCTGGCATCATCATCCTCCATGCAGCCAGCAGCCTCCAACACAGCAGAGAAATGGGTGGTACGCAAAAACGTTGGAAGAGCTGCTTGATCTTTGCAAAGCTGGTACTGCACTGGCCATGGCCAATGTTTTAGGGGCATATGTCTTTCCCCACGCCTTTTTCTAACTTTTAACTGGAGCACAAGGGAGTAAATGACTACTATTACTAAGCGAATGCTACAGAGTCTGCAGTGCTGAGGTATTAGCCACAGGACAACTGGACTGTGTGCAGCTTTTACATGTTCACTGTCCCTCCAGCACAGAGTTGCTGTTTGGGTAAAGACAAAATACAACTACATTTTGGAAAAGTTTGGCCAGAGATTTTTTTTTTTTGGAAGGCAGCAAGCTTTTGGAGCATTTATGAGTCAGAGAAACCATGAGCTGATTTTGCATAAGTTTTTGAATGACTGCAGAACACACCAGCTTTCCTAGAGTGATCCAGCTGTAGAGATGTATTGCATGATCTACTATGAGATCTTTGTAAGGCCAGTTTAAGATTTTATAAGGACTTTCAGGTGGAATCAAAAAGGCGGCAGAACTGATATTTGCAATAAGTGGAATTGCTCTCCTGAAGCCCTGTGACTTCAGAGGCTGCAGCAGGATGGCATTAGCTAGGGGCAGAGAACTCCTGTGGAGGGATTGAAAGAGTTTTACCCCTTACAGGGCTTTTAAGCATTTTGCCTAACTTCAAGATCTGAGCAGGCAATGCTAGATTACTTTGAATTAAGTGAACTGAAGAAGTTTGTACCAAGAGAGATGTAAAATGAGAATTACACAGATCCTAAGGTAGGAGAGGACTGTGGCCAAAGAAGTTATCCCATGTCCTGTGATGAAGACACTCTATTCGATTGAGGCTTGACCAGGTCCATCCAGTTCCCCAGCACAGATGGGGAAGGATTGTCCCTCTCGTAGTGATACTGAGGCACACATAAGCCCTGGTCAGTGCTGGCATAGAACCTGGGTCATGGTTACCCCCTATGCTTAAAGGAAAGCTCAGGGTACCTGCCCTACATCTGGGCTCCCAGAAGTTGCAGTTCCTTCATGGGCATCACCTCCAGACTCATCCCCTGTGCCAGGTGAAGCAGTTGTGGTGCTGCGAACCCAGTCAGTGCCCCCACAGACTCACAGAACAGTTAAGGTTGGAAGGCACCTCTGGAGATCATTGACTCCAAGCCCTCTGCTCAAGCAGGGTCCTCTAGAGCACATTGCCCAGGATCTTATCCAGATGGCTTTGGAATATCTCCAAAGATGGAGACTCCGTAATCTCATCGGGCAACCTGTTCCAGTGCTCAGTCACCCTCACAGGAAAGAAGTTTTTCCTCACATTCAGATGGAACTTCCTGTGATTCAGTTTGTGCCTGTGGCCGCTTGTCCTAGTGCTGTGCCCCATCCTCTTGACATCTTCCCTTCAGATATTTATACATATTGACCAGATCCCCCCCTCAGTCTTCTCTGCTCCAAGCTGAACAGTCTCAGTGCCAGTCCCCTCATCATCTTAGTAGCTCTTTGCTGCACTCACTCCAGTAGCTCCAAGTCTCTCTTGCACTGGGGAGCCCAGAACTGCACACACTACTCCAGATAGGAGTGGTGGCCTCACCAGGGCTGAGTAGAGGGGAAGGATCACCTCCTTCCACCTGCTGACAAAGCTCTTCCTAATGCAGCCCTGAGGGCCTTCTGTTGTCACAAGGGCACATTCCTGGCCCATGTTCAACCAGCTGTCCACCAGGAGGACCTCCAGGTTCTTCTCTGCAGGGCTGCTCTCCAGCTAGCTGGTCAGCCCCCCAGCCTGTACTGGTGCATGGCGTTATTTCTCCCTATGTGCAGCACTCTGCATTTCCCTTTTGTTGAACTTCCGGAGGTTCCTCTCTGCCCATGTCTCCAGCCTGTCCAGGCCCCTCTGAACGGCACCACAACCATCTCGTGTATCAGCCACGTCTCCCAATTCTGTGACATCTGCAACCTTGCTGAGGGTGCATTTGCTCCCATCATCCAGGTCATTGATGAAGATATTAAACAGCACTGGACCCTGGATGGACTCCAAGTGACCACTAGGGACTAACCTCCAGCTGGACTTTGTGCCACTCTGAGCCTAGCAGTTCAGCCAGTTATCAGTTCACCTCACTGACCACTTATCTAGCCTGCACTTCATCAGCTCGTCTGGGAGGATGTTATGGGAGACAGTGTCAAAAGCCTTAGTAAAATTGAGATAAACAACATTGACTACTCTCCTCTCATCCGCTAAGCCAGCCATCTCATTGTAGAAGGCTATCAGGTTGGTTGGGAATGATTTCCCCTTTGTAAATCCTTGCTGACTACTTCCAGTCACCTTCCAGTCCTTCACATGTCTGGAAGCAGTATCCAGGATTAGTTGCTTCATCACCTTCTGAGGGATCGAGGTGAGGCTGACTGCCCTGTAGTTCCCTGGATCCTCCTTCTTGCCCTTCTTGATGATAGACATGACATTTGCTCTCTTCCAGTCCTCAGGAACCTCTTCTGATCACCATGACACTTTAAAGATAATCAAGAGTGGTTTTGCAATGGCATCAGCCAGCTCCCTCAGCACTCACAGGTGCATCCCATCCTGGCCTGTTGACATATGTCCAGTTGGTTTCAGTGTTCCCTAACCTGATCCTCCTCCACCCAGATTAAGTCTGAGGTAAAGGCATTCAGTACCTCTGCCTTTTCAGTGTCCTTTGTCACCAAGTCCCTGCCTTGTTTTGCAGCAGACCCACATTTTCCCAGCCTTTCTTTTGTTGCTTATGTATTTATAGAAGCCTTTTTTGTTTCACTTTCCTGTTTCACTGCAGGGCATTCACCATTACACTTCAGAACCACGTAGGATGTAAAAATTAAGACCCATCCCAATGTACAACCCACAGGCCACTTCCAGGAAGGAACAGTACACCACATCGATGTATGCTATATAGTATAAATTCGTACATCTCACTACTGGTGAGATTCATACATCTCACTACTAACGCAGTGGCTGTTTTGGAAGAGCAGAGCAGAGCAAAGCAGGCTGTAGGCAGAGACAGTTTTGTCTAAGTTTTGATGGGCAGGGATCAAACTTACCAATACATTTTCTAGAAGCTCCCTATTGGGAGCTAACTGGCACATTTACCATCTTCCATTCCTCCTGTATTGAAGCTAATTTGAGCAGTAAGTTATACTCCACTTGACTGCTAGTTTGGCAAGTCCAAGTTCCTTTACAAGCACCAGAGTAACATATAATTCCCGTAACTTGCTATTTATGAAGCTGTCCTATAACTTTCCTAGTGACACTCTAATTTGAAACAGTATTAACTCCCCTCCCAGCACGTGAAAAGCTTTGGTCTTTCAGCTTGTTGAGTCTTCCACTGTGCAGACCACTGCAGTAATTTCAGTCTGGTCTTTTGCTATGGCCTTATCTTCCTCAAGTGCTCCTTTTCCAATCACTTTAATGGTCTCAGGAACTCTAGCATGTTTCCTGGTCTGACAGGCCTGGAAATTTCAGTACAGGTTAAAAGACGTGTACAGAGCCACAGGCGGGCATGGTTAAGGTTTTAGGGTTGCAGCTAAGGGCAACATGCCAAAGATCCTGTGTAACTGGGGTGCAGAGTGCTGGTGGCAAGGCCCAGCAGGATGCAGGCAGCAAAGGAGAAGGGGGCCGCAGCCCTCCAGTTCCCACAGGGCTACAACAGGGCCCGCCAGCTCGGCCCAGGCAGGCCCACGCGGGCCGCCCACAACTCCACACAGTGAGATCATGC